CATGGTTTATTACAGAGTTGGTTTTTTTCCCAGGGAAATAAATCTAAGTGGCACTTATTTCTTCTCTGGACTAGTAGAGGCTGAAGCCCTAAGTTCAACTGGTACATTAAACCATGTCAGAGGTGTCTTCACTGACTTGTAACAGCCCAAGCACCAGAGAAGCAATGAAAAAACCACCTGAGACAACACGGATGTGTCCTCAGTGGCTTGGAATAACTCTTAATGTCAAGGCACTGAACATTAAAATTGGCCTTTTGAAGTTTTAGAAGCCTCCATTTTGTCTCCAAAAGCACTTCACACATCCCAGTCAGTGCAAATGGCCCCGAGCATCAGACAAACCTGCACTCTGCTGAGATTTGACCAGCCGCGTGGCCCTCTCGATGCACACGATGAGGCACCCAGTCACCTTGGGGTCCAGGGTGCCACTGTGCCCTGTCTTCTCCACTCGCAGGATGCGCCGGATCCACGCAACCACCTCGTGAGAGGATGGGTTGGAGGGTTTGTCGAGGTTAATAAAGCCAGACCTGGGGTGCAAAACGGCAGGGAATGGGAGCTAAGCATCAGGGCAGACATGGCAACTCTGAAACAGTGCAGTAACTCTGAAATACTGTCCTGGCTGCAAAGAAATGTATTTCTGTACAGCCAGATAAGCAATGAGCCTCCCAGCAGCTCTCAGTAAGCTCACATTGAGCTGCCCCATGCACAACAGGTGATATAATCCATGGGCAAGGAATTCTCCCCTGCACTTATAAAAAACCACCAAATTCTAAGAACTCCAAGCAGTTTCAAAGCCCAGCAGGCCAAAGGACTTTCCTGAAGACTCCAGCGAATTCCTTAGGTGGTTTGCATGTTCATCCACAGACCTTCTACAACCCCAAAATAAAGAAAACTTTACAGGGAGAGATCAGTGGATCCTATTTACATGTTTACTGATTCTGGCAAGGCACTGAGTGAAGAAGAAAGGTACAAGGGGAATGCAGACAGAAAATATTTTGAAGGTATTAACTGTGAAAGAAAAATAAACCACTCTGGCTGTATTGCACTCACCTAACATAGTCAGAAATCTCTCTCTTCAGGGGATTAGCACCAGAAGGAAGAGGCGTGTAGTGTGCTGTCCTCACATTTAACTTGTCAAAGTTCTACAAAATCCAAGCAGAAGTTACAAGTCTTTTTAAGCTCCCTGGATTTCAGTGCTGCTGTGCTGCAGTACATCTCCCCACATACACCAGGTCTGATTTAAGTGATAGAGCCACTTCCAAAATGAAAATGACCCAACAATGAAACCACAATATTATTGTAAAAAAATAGAGAAAAATAAAAATCCTGGACTGAAGGAGATGGGAAGCAGCACAATACATGCATCGACAATGCAGGATAAAGCAAACATTCCCCAGAAACTCAGGAGAAGCAACCTGGAAGCCTACACACAGCACAGGCCACGGTCAGACCCAAATTAAAAACTCCAGAAATATGGCGGGATCTTTCCGAAGTACGGAAAACTCACAAAACTTAACCGGTACAGCTGGAGAGACGCTGTAACGCGATTTCTGCGGGCAGAGCCCCACGTGCGCCGCTGCCCGCCGCGGGGCTGGGTTACACCTCCGGGGCAGAGCACAAAGCAGCGCGAAGGCGGAGGGGCCACGAGGCCGAGCAGAGCCCGCCCTACCTTCAGCAGCAAGGGCCACTGCGACGTGTCCAGCTGGGCCACGCGGGACTCGGGCTTGATGAGAAAGTCCTCGGTGTGCTGGATGTCCTGGGGGGTGAAGTTAAGCGGCATCAGCGAGGGGAAGCCGGCGGGCCGCGCTCCCGCCGCGCTCTCCACGTGGCCCGGGAGGCTCCGCCGCCGCCACGCGGGGCGGCCGCGCTCCCGCCGGCACGGAGCGGGGCGAGCCCGCCCAGCCCTAGCCACGGCCCCGGCACGCGTCCGCACGGCTGGGGCTGGGGGAGCCCCCGGCAGCCCGAGCACGGCCCGATCGCCGCCCCGTCCCCGCGCTCACCGCTACATCATCATCGGCGAGCGCCCGCTTGTCCTTCTTCCGCCGCTTCTTCACGCTGGAACCTGCGGGAGCGACACGGCGGCAGTGAGCGGCGGGAGCGCGGCAGGGCACACGGGCAAAGGCCCGGGGGGCAAAGCCGCCCGCAGAGCCCTCCCCGAGCGGCGCCGCGCCCGCCGCGTCACCGGCACCGGCACCGCCCGCGCCGCGCCCCTTCCGCCGCCCTCGCACCGCCCCCGGCGCCGCCGCGGAGCTGCAGCTCCAGTTCCGTCTGTGGGGTTTGAACAGCACGCGGACATAAGGAATTTCGCCGCATGGGTTGCTAGTTTTGCCTCTCGGCCTGGCGCATCCGCGGCTAACTTAGCCATAAAATATCATCCAGTTCGGGTCCGAGCCTTTCTCAACTGCCATTGTACCTTGGCACGAGAGGGTTGTGGTAATTAAGGCTTGTTAAAATTAGCAGCGTCTCTGTTTGCATTTGAGAGGGGAAAACGGCAAATTCTTTAAGTGTGGAAGGTGAAAAACACTTGAAAAACACTGGAAAAGCGTTTGAAAAAACTGTTGTCTCCAGACCCAAACATAAAACCACTGTTCAACAGTGGTTAAGCTCTGGCTTGTCTCCCAGGTGTACAAACGGGATTGTCTTCTTTCCAAAAGCCTCAGCCTCTGCAGGGTCTCTGGAAGTGCTGGCTGAGAGCGTTTGTTTCACTCACCAGTGGCTGGGTACCCTGGAACTGCTATTTATCCACCCAACACTCATCCCCGGCGCATCTCCAGCCTCCAGGATAAAGCCTGCCCTGCCTGAGGTTGTATATTAGCACTGCTGGAATTTAGCAAAGCCTGTACCCAACAGGTGAGGGCACCAAAGACAGCAGGGTCTTTTCCCCTCTAAAGACCAGCTGCCTTCACCTACAAGCCCCAAGAAGCAGAAAGCAAGAGACAGAAATGCCCAAGAGCAGACAGATAACAGGTGAAAAGAATTAAACAAATAGCCCACATTCCAATAACTCCTGTAACCACCACCTCCATCATTAACTCCCTGAGATGAAGTGGATTTGCCACCGTGCAGGCTCAGTTCTCTGGGTTAACAGCTGCTACAGAGACTGGAGTCAAACCACCATCACCCCACTTGCAGGTCAGTGCCCAACTCCTTTCACCCAGCACAAAACTGAGGGCCTCGTGTTGGCTGCAGTGTCAGTTGTTTTCAGGAGGGGGAAAAATAAAACCTTATTTTTATACAGAGTTCTTGTTTGATTTTTCAGAAAAAGCAACTCTAACAACATTTGATTCATAGATACCCAAATCCTCCAACACATGCAAACTGCAGCCAGTCTTTTAATGAAAAGCTTCCTTCTGCCCTGAAATGGCCTTTCTGCTTTAAGGTTACACTTTTTCCAAGCACGACAACTTTCAGTACATACAGTGAGCAGTTTACTATGACACAAGGCGAACATGTAGATGAACGCATTCTCTCATCAACCATTACTTCAACTCGTATTAAAAATAAATAACGGAATAGAGTCTGTGCTGGCACCGGCTGAAGCGACCAGTCCGACCTGTCCCTGCGGGCGGCGGCGCTCAGAGCCCCTGTCCGGCGGGGCTCAGCATCTCCTGCAGCACCAGGTGCAGCAGATGGTTCTGCTCGGCGCTCAGCAGCGGCCACAGCTCGGCCTGCAGCGCCTTCAGCGCCTCCGCGTCCTTCTCCTGGCAGGCCAGCACTGCCGACTGCAGCAGCAGGAACAGCTCGGCCGGCAGGTAGCTGGCGGCCGGCGGCAGCGCCCCGCCCGTCCCGGAGCCGCTCCCGGCGCCCGCTCCGCCGTCGGGCGCCTCCCAGCAGTACTGCTCCAGCGTGCGGGCGTGCTCGGGCAGCAGCTTGGCGGGCGGCGGCTGGAGCAGGAGCAGCAGCAGCACCCGCGACACCTCGCAGCGCGCCAGCACGTCCAGGAAGGCGCCGCCGGGCGCGGCTCCGGCGCCGGCCGCCCCGCCGAGCCCNGCCTGCGCCCGCGTCAGCGTGGCCAGCGCCCCGGCGTAGTCGCGGGCCAGCAGCAGGCAGGACGCGCGCTCGGCCAGGCAGCGCAGAGCCTGCAGCGGCAGCCGCGCCGCCGTCAGCAGCTCGGCCGCCCGCTGCAGGGGCGCGGCGGCGCGGGCGGGCTGTCCCGTGTCGCGGAGCGCGGCCGCCAGCTCCAGGCACGGCCCGGCCGCCAGCGCGGGCTGCCCCCGCTCCAGGTGCAGGCGGGCGGCGAAGGCCCCGCAGCTCTGCGCCGCCGCCACGTGCTCGCCGAAGCCACCGCGCAACCCCAGGCGCTGCCGCAGGTCCCGCTCCTGGCGCAGGAAGAGCCGCGCGGCCTCGGCCAGCGCGGCCGCCTCGGCGGGGCCGTGGAACAGGCTCTGGGCGCAGCGCGCCACGGCCAGCTGGCACCAGGCCGCGTAGGGCAGGCTCTCCTGGGCGCGCAGCTCCCGCGCCAGCGCCGCGAACTGCTCCGCCGCCTCCGCCACGTTCGGTTTCCGCAGGAACCGCCGCCGCAGCTTGGCCGACACCAGCCGGTACCGCGACAGGAAATCGCCGTCGCCGCCGAGCCCCGGCCCGGAGCCGCCCGCCCCGCCGGGGCCGGAGCCGCCGCCCGCCGACAGCATCGCGGGCCCTGCGCGGAACTGACGCGCCTCGCCGGGCCGCGCTCCGCCGCGCGCCGCCGGCCAATCAACGCCCGCCCCGCCCCGCGCCGCCGGCCAATCGGCGCCCGCGCCGGCATCTCGTGGATAGTGGGGCGTGGCGAGGGCACGGCTACTGCACACCGCGCATCCCAGCTGTCACCGCCCACGATGGGCGCGGCTATGCGGCACCGGCCCCGCCCATGGGGCGTGGCTAAGCGCGGCGAACACCGCCCTCGGCATGCAGTGGGCCTTAACTGTGTGGCGTCCTCTTGCGGAGTGGAGGACCTGTGCTCCTACTCCGGCCCGGACCGGACCGGACCGGGCAGGGCAGGGAGAGGGTCAAGCTCTGGAGCTCTTGGGGGAAACCGCAGCAGCCAGGTTCACAGAAGAACAATTCACCCAAATGGTAGCAAGTGGGTGGGTGAGCTCCTTGGCCAAAGGATGCGTGGCGGCAGGAATTTTAGGTGACATCTAAGGGTGACAGGTAAACACTTGGATAAGAGAACTCTTGGGTTTCCTAAACAAATAAGCCACGTCTGACTCGGAAAATCTCCAGCGCTGAAAATATTTCGTGATGGAGAGACTAGGTGAGCATGGCAGCACGTGTGCTTGCCTGCTCCCCGCTGCTCGCTGGGCAGCTGCTGGAGGCACGGCCGGGGCTGGCTGGGAGAGGCTGTTCTCGCTCTCCTGTCCATATGTACCCAACGGCACCCACCGTGCGAGCCGAGGTGAATGGCAGCCACACCGCCATCCTGGGTATCCCATCGGACAGGCTCGCTGGCAGCTGGCACTGAGCCTTCCGTCTGTCCCAGGCCAGCTCAGCGCGGCCACGCTGCTGCTGTGACACTTTGTGTCCGACCGGCACAGGGCTGAAAGCTCAGCCCTCCCTCCCAGCGCGGGGCCGGGCCCTGGGCTCTCACCGCGCCCCTTCCGCCCGTGCCGCTGGCGGAGCGCTCCCTGTCGTTTCCCGGAGCGGATCCCTGTCGCTGGCGGAGCGGGTCGCTGTCGTTTCCCGGAGCGGTCCCTGTCGCTGCCCGGAGCGGGTCGCTGTCGTTTCCCGGAGCGGTCCCTGTCGCTGCCCTGAGCGGATCCCTGTCGCTGCCCGGCGCGGTCCCTGTCGCTGCCCGGCTCCCCAGCAGCCGCTGGCAGCCGCCATGGCTCTGTGCTGGGCGCTGCGGCCGCCGCGCTGCCGCCTCCGGCCGCCGCCGCTCGCCCTGCCCGCGCCGCCCCGCAGCCTGCTGGCAACCACAGCGGCACCGTGGGAGCGGAGGGGAAAGGCCACGGTGAGCTGCAGCCTGCCAGAGCCTTCCTGGGAGGAGAGGTACGGCTTTTCCAAAATGAAAAGCGTTCTTTCAAAGCAGCAAGCACGTAGAGCTGTGAACGTGGCGGGTTGGGGGTTTACTTGCACCCGGTAGGAATAGAAGAGCCAGGGCTCGGCTTGTTTTCCTGGAGTCTGGCCTGGGGAGGGGATAGTGGAGAACACAAATGAACAGTTCTGAGAGGAAAGGAGCAGATAAGTTGTCATATTCGCAAGCAAAAAGTGATAGTCCATTTGATTTGCAGTCCTGGACTTCACAGTAGTTGTCACTGGGTGCTTTGGAAGTAGCTGCAAAAATCATAGGTAAGGAATAGCTGCAGCTGATCCAGCTGTGAGATGGTGTTCCCAATGAGCTCAGAGACTCAGTTATGAGTGCTTGAATCATATCAGCCTCACCTCTGCTTTGGGGGTCTTTTTAGGATATGTATGTTTGGGGATTTTTTAACCAGTTTATATGTGTTTTGTTCTTGCTTGTTCTGCTTTGGATGTGAGTAGTGGCAAGTTCTGAGGTTTATCTCTAAACTACTTCTTTGTGAGTGGCTGGGTCAGTGAGACTGAGCAGCTTGAAATTCCCTCCTGCTACACACACTGTGCATTCCACTGTGGTTCCCTGGCAGTCTGGATGTTCACAGCCTGGTGCAGAGCTCACACCAGAACAGTCCTGCCCATGAAGTAGCTGACAGGGATGTTATGCCATAGGAATGAGGACTCAAGTAGCTCTGGGCACTGCCTTGTGCTTTCCAGGTTAGCAAATGCAGTGACGCCACTGTGGAGACTTCCCTACCAAGAGCAGCTGCAGGTAAGATATGTTTACACAGACTTTTCTCCCTTGTGTTGCCCCAACTGTCCCTCCTATCTGCTTGAGCAGCAGTCCTTAGCATCTTAATGCTGCAAACTGTTCAGACCCCATTTACTGCTGCTTTAATCCTGCTGTTGTGAAGGATAGAACTGGGAGGTTCCTTGTAGTACAGGAGATGGGCATTTGCACAGTGATCCTGTCCTCTGTGGGACTGCTCTGCTTCACTGGGCTTCAGGTTAGACAAAGTGTTCCAGGCCAGCATTTGGGGACCGTAGACACAGGATTTTTCACTCTTCCTGTTTCTCCAAACAGCTGTGGTTATGAAAAGGGCAGAGTTCCTCTGGGGCTATATTTTCACTTGCAGTTTTCCCTCCTGTTGGACTCCTCAGAGGTGGGTGATGAAGAGCTGCCCACCATCGTGTGGTCCTGTGAGAGTGTTTCTGCCTTGGAACTCCTCTGCAGGTAAAGTATGAAAGCCAGAGGAAGATTTTGCAGACACTGGCATCTCGTCTTGAGGAGCTGGGCATAGATGCACAGAAACCTGGTGGGCTCTGCTGTCCTCTGCAGCCTGTAGTCCCTTCGGTGAGTGTCCCATGGGAATGCTCTTCCCTCTGAGCCACGAACAGTCTCTTACTCAACAGCTCAGAGTCTCATGGGGGGCATCATTTGCTTGCAGAGAGTGTGTCTGAGTCAGTCCTTGCTAACTTGTGCTTTGCAGTTTGTGACTGCCCAAGAGTGAAATAAGCCCAGTGCTTAGGAAATCTCTTTTTGTGCCTAAGGCCTCCCTGTTAAACCTGTCACCATTGTCACAGAGAGCCACTTCTTGTCCCCAAGGGGCAGAACTGGGGTTCTTGTGCACAAGCTGTGTTTCTGTGTTTTGCCCATTCACACACATCTTCCCGTGTTGGCAACAGAATAACCAGACTGGGATTTGGCTTTCCTCCATTGCTTTTTCTTTTAATCCAAGGCTTTGCTTTTCCTTCTTTTCTCCCTCAGCCCATCATTAACGGCTACCGAAACAAATCGACTTTCTCTGTGAACCGAGGGCCAGATGGGAACCCCAAAACTGTGGGGTTGTATGTAGGAACTGGCAGAGGTCAGTGCAGGAGAGAAAACTGCTGGCATGGGCTGTGGAAATGGGGAAAGGACTCTCCACAGTTTATCATGTCAGGTGCTACAGTGGTTTACGTGCCCTGAACCAGAGCAGTTAAATTCCTATTCGTTTCTCTACAGAAAGGAATATTGTCTGTGTGAAAGCCAATCATGTGGAGAACATACCCTCAAAACACAAACAAGTAGCTCAGGTAAATAAATAAGTCATGTCTGTCCCTTCACTGTGGAATATGGACACTGCAATAACTCTTACTTGGGAGAACACTGTAATTTTAATTATGCTGTGTTCTCAAGTCCATTTTCATGTTCTGGAAATTTTCATGCCTGATTCTGATTGATGGATAAATACTTTTATATAAATTCACATGTTGATATTACAGCCCATAAAGTGTGCCAAGTAATGAAGTTAATCAAGTGACAATGAATTCCTGCCAATCTATTAAAATGCATAAGACTTGCAAATTGAAATTATTAAAACACCTTGTCTTTCAAGAGCCTGGAAAGAGCGTTCAGCCCGTGTATTGAAATCAAACAGAAAAAGCAGAGCACAGTGGTGGGAGGGCTGCCTGTCTGGGGGGCTAAGAGCAGGGCAGTTGTCTTCGTGGTGCTAAAGGTGCCATTTCCCTTCCCCTCAGTGCTACGAGGAGTTCATCTGTCACTCCCCCCTGGACTCCTGCATCCTCTTCCATGAAGGTGGGCACTGGCGAGAGCTCGTGGTTCGTACCACCCGCTGTGGCCACACCATGGCTATCATCACCTTCCACCCCCAGCAGCTGGGCCAGGTGAGCACGTGGGGACAGGGCAAGAGGCACATCTGGCTGAGCTGAGCCTGCTGGCTATGCTGCTGGGGAGAGGGGTCCAATCAGGGTACCCAAATAGGCAGCTTTTCCTTTCTCACTCTTGCCAGGAGGCACTGGCTACTCAGAAAGCATTGCTGAAGGAGTTCTTCACATGTGGGCCTGGAGCCGTCTGTGCCTTGACTTCGCTTTATTTCCAAGAGAGGTAAGTGCCTCAACAGGGGGAATGAGTGGAAACAAAGCCACCTCCTTCTTCTACCCTTTCTGGCCAAATTCAAATTCCAGCAGTTCAGGGAGGGCTGGAAGAGAATGAGAGATGTTTGCATCCCTCTTGAAGATGTGTCTTTAAGTTGGGCCTATCTTTTATTTTTCCAGACTTATTTGAACACACTATGGGTCTACCTCTGGGAATTATGAGTCTGGGAAACTTAAAGAAAAAACTTCCAGTGACTATCCCAAAACAGTAAATCACATTAGCAGCAAAACTGGGGGACAGACTTGAAGAATGCTGCCTTCTGCTAAGTCATTTTGATACTTTTAATGAAATTTAGACTGTGCAAGTCACAGATCCCTTACAAAGAATCAAAATGCTTTAATCTTGTTGAAAGGCTCATATGAAATGTAAGTTGCTGGGGGGATGAGCCATCCTCTGCTGCCCTTGGGCACCCTGGCAATGGAAACCAGCTCCTCTCTGCTGCCTTCTCACAGCTGTATTTTGTGTGCTCTGCCAGCACCATGACACGCTGCTCCCACGAGCAGTCCCCCTACCAGCTCCTGCACGGAGCACCGCACATCTTGGAAGAGCTGCTCGGCCTGCAGTTCCGCATCTCTCCAGACGCCTTCTTCCAAGTCAACACGGCTGGAGCAGAAGTTCTGTACCAGGCAGTCAGGGAGCTCTGCCAGGCTACTGGGGACACTGTCCTCCTTGACATCTGCTGTGGAACAGGTGGGGTCCTGGGCTCCTAGAGCTTTGCATTCCAGAGCTGATCCTTGCTATGTGAAGGCGTGTTTCTTCAGCATGAATGTATGGAGTTCTTTGTTTCCCCTGTTTCCAGGCACAATTGGTCTCTCTCTGGCTCACCAAGTGTCCAAGGTTATTGGTGTCGAGGTGGTGGAGAAGGCAATAGAGGATGCTGAGTGGAATGCAGCATTCAATGGTGAGCTCAAACTTGCTGTGGCAAAAAGTTTCAAACTAAATGCTGAAAAATCAGAGTAGAAGTGAGCAGAGGGACCCTAACCAGTTACCTTCACACAGCAAAGGGTGGTTCGTGTTATACCTAACTCTTGGTGAGACTCAGTTCATGTGGTTGCTTTTTTGTTTCACAGGGATCTCAAACTGTGAGTTTCACAGTGGAAAGGCAGAGGCTGTGTTACCACAGCTCCTGGCATCGTGGGAGGATGCCCGACCGCTTGTTGCTGTTGTGAACCCTTCTCGGGCTGGCCTACGTGAGAGAAAATGCTATTTATTTTCATCTTGTAAACAGAGAGTTTTGAGCAAGTTCTGTGAGACCTGTTATACTGGCTCCACACCCTTCCCTTGCTTAGTTTCTTGTTTTAGCTGTTTCAGCAGCTAAAATCCCATAAAGTCTGCTGTTTTCAGTGCTTTCATCATGCTTTCTCTTTAGCTCTAATCCTTTTCCCATCTTCCACAGGCTCACACAATTATTTAAGTGAGAAGGGACCTCTGGATGTCTGTGGTGCAATCTCCCAAATATAGCAAGGCCAACTTCAGAGTTGTATGAGGTTGCATAGGGATATAAAGCCTAGCTGAGGTTTGCATGTGTCCAAGGGTGTATCCCCTCTCCTGAAAATGTTTTCCCTACTATATTTAATCAGGATTTTCCCTTGCTGCCATACATCTATTGCTTCTCATCCTCTTCTCATGCCCCTCTGAGAAGATTCTCACTTATCTGTAATGCCCCATGAGGTCCCTGGAGATAGTAAATGGATCTTTGCTTACCTTCTTTTCCTCAGGCTGAATAACCCAGCCCTCAAACTGTCTCAGTGGTCTCCCCTGGAGTGTATACTGGGAAGTCACACACTGGTCCTGGTGCCCAGATGCACTCTCACAAGTGTGTGTGGAAGGTTCTATATGCCTTTGCTTAATTAACATTTTTTCTCTCATCCTTCACCCCCCTGGGAAGCAGAGGGACTTCTCCCATTGCTCTGCCCTGCCTGCCAAACTGGCTGAGCTGTCAGCAGTGTGGGTCACACCCGTGGCCTCCTGAGAGACTTCATCTGAGACAGAACGTGGCAGAATATGCATCTGTATTTTTGACAGTTCTGTGGTGCTGTGCAGTCATTCCTTCTGGAGAGCTCAGGGTGGTGGAGGAAAGCAGGCTGTTTGTTTTTGCAGACTACAGGGTCGTTCGAGCCATCCGGAACTGCAGGGCCATCCGCAGGCTGCTCTACATCTCCTGCAAGCCAGAGGGTGAAGCCATGAGGAACTTCCTCGAGTGAGCACTCTCCTTTCTCTTGAGCTCAGTGACAGGCCCTGTTAAGTCCAGACAAGGCATCAGTGAGGAACAGAAAATAATTCAAACATGGCACAATGACATTGTGTATCTCTCTGAAATGAAAAGCACATCTGGATGTGAGATGCAGAGTCCATGGGGTTCACTGCAGGAAGGTTGGCCCTCTCCAAGAAAGGGAAGCTAAGAGGATTTGTCACCTGCTTAGGGGTTAATCATGTAGCTTTATCTGGTCAGCCTTTAGCTGGGGTACACCCAGGTGATAAATCTGTCTGCAGGCAGCCATAAAGGCAGTGCACAACTCAAAACTGAGTGTCTGTCAGCTGGGATGGCTTGTGAGAAAAGGAGCTTTGAACTTGCCACTGACTGTTCAGCTTCTCCCTGAGGTTTTCAGAGCTGGTTGGGGATTCAGTATTGATGGTTCCACACCTCAGCCAGTGTCAGCTGCAGATTCTGAGGAATGTTAGTCAAACACATGATACCTCCTGTGTGGGTTCCCCTTGGATTGTGTTACCAGTGGTGGGAAGGCTTCTGCTACTGGTCTAAAGGATGCTCTTTGCTTCCCACAGGCTGTGCTGCCCACCTGACCCACGGAAGAAGCTGGCACGGGAGCCATTTGCCCCCGTGATGGCTATTCCTTTTGACATGTTTCCTCACACAGTTCATTGTGAGCTGGTGCTGCTGTTCACCCGCTGACAAGGAGGCAGGAATGAGCTCTGAGAGCTTGGAAAGCAACCTCCTCCTGTCCTGAAGAGCCAATGTAGTTAGGATTTTAACTTATTTTCTGTGAAGTTGTATAAAAATAAATAATTTTGGTTTTTCTCTTACTTTGGGTTGCCTAGCAACACTGTTCTGTAAAGATCTACTTGGATTTCTGGGGTGAAAGGTTCTTTGTAGCATTTCATCACCCTTCCTTCCCCTGCAAACCTCAGGCTGCTGGTTAAAGCAGCCTGGAAAACTCTCTCCCTATGTTGAGGAATCTGTAGCTGGTGTTCGAGCTGCAAGTTGTGCCCTGGATAGTGGGAAATCGCTGGAGCCCCAGGCAAGGAGCCGTGAATGGGCGCTGACCTTGTCCCTAACAAAGGACACGGGACTTCCAGCGCTGGCTGGGTGTGGGTGGCTTCTCACCCACAGGCTCTGCACAAACCGGTGAACAATGAGAAGACACCAGAGTCTAATTTTCCACTGGTCAGAGCTGTTGTGGGAGATTTAAGTTGGAAGAGTGTGAAAGCCAGGGATTCCTACTTGGGGTCCATGCCCGGAGGAGGCACCAGCTTCAACAATGAGGTTTTTCTATAAAACGAAATAAAGAGAACAGATTTCAGCGTCTCTCTTTTCACATCTGCCTCCCCCTTCTCCACTAATGATTCCTGATGCCTAAGTATGAAGTGCCCTGTGAGAATGTCAGCTGCAATATTTTTCCTCTTCAGGATGTTCTGCAATAGCTAATTAAAATTTTTCTTCTGTTTTGTATGTCCTGTCCTGCTTACAGTGTTGTTATATTTCTCCAGCTCTTCCAGAGATGAAGCTGCTGTAATGTGGAGGGGAGTCTAAGTGAGCAGAGTTCCCTTGTGTTGTGTGTCCCAGAATATTTTGAGTCAAGGCTGATAAACTCCCAAGAAAACTAGGAGATTTTTCAGACTTTTAATTCCAGACCTCAGCTTTGAATAATAACAGCAACCAGTTCTCAAGCCATGGGGGCTCAAAAGACATGTGTTTAGGATTTAAGGATTACTACACCATAAAGGGAATGATGATGAGATTCCTGACAGGCGTAGGAAATGTCACTCTTGCACTATATTGTAGATTTTTACACACTGTTGCAGCCTCTTGTTTTCGTTTTATATCAAAGGATGCAATATTCCAGCAGTTCTGTTTTGTGTAATTATACCTTGGTTTCTCATTGTGAGATCTGAATAGATTTCTACTAGGTTTTGGTCAAAAGGAACTTTGTTGCATTAATTGCAGGGGAGACTTTAAATCAGAAAGTACCAGAAGATCATAAAACCTCTGGATAGCTGAACATACAGGATAGGTTTTATCAGCAGTGGGGGCAGGTGACACAAGTGGCCTCACCTTCCCTTTTGAGCATCAGGTTCCAGGAGAGCCACAGAGACAAAACATTTATTTTTCTTTCCTGGTGCAAATAAATGAAGCAATATGTTGTTTGGTGTGTACGAGCATCTGAATATCTGAAACTGAAAGCTCTCTCTACCTACAAGAGACCCCTGGCCACTTCTCCTCCACAGCACGTTCCTCCTGTGCCCTCTGCTAACATGTCCTCGTTTTCCCGCTAATGAATGACTGTGCTCTGCCTTTGGCTGCCATCCCACATCCCTAGGATTGACTCCGTTTCGGCTTTCTGTGGGCGATTTATGGAGCACGCAAGGAAGCAAGAGGATGAATTCCTCTCGCTCTCCCGCGCTGGCGCTGCCTGGCTGTGGCTGCAGGGCTTTAGGACCCAGGGGTTGCCGAGTGGAGGAGGCTGAATCCCCTCCCGCTGTCATCCTCCTGCCTCTGCAGCTTTATTCCTACAGCCTTCAATGGTGACGGACTCCCTCCCTCCCGGGCTGCCAGCCAGAGCCACAAGGCCTCGCTAGGAGCGGATCCCTGCGGCTCTATGGCATCTCCCAGGACCATCACCATTGTCGCCCTCTCGGTGGCCCTGGGGCTCTTCTTCGTCTTTATGGGGACGATCAAGCTGACCCCCCGGCTCAGCAGGGATGCCTACAATGAGATGGTAAGTGGGGCAGCTCGCAGGGAGGTGCTGGAGGCTCTCCCGCCTTGCAGCCGGAGCAGCGGGGGACGCGGGGGCTGGGGGACTGCCCTGGAACCCCGAGCGAGGGCCGAGCGGGAAGAAGCTGATCTGACCCATTACTTGATAGACATGGAGAGAAGCCAATAAAACGCAGTGCCCAGGATATCCTGGCAGCCCTTCTCTGGCTCCGGCTGAGCCGATGCACGGAGAAGCCTCTGGTGGATAAGGATGGCGAGGGGAGGCAGGGAGGATGGGGTGGCACAGCACACACAGCCTGCAAGAGTTGGGGACACAAGGGTCTGGAAAAGCAAGGCCTGCAGGAGTGCCAGACATGCAGCAGGCAGGGACAGCTGATCCCCGAGGGGAAACCTATCCACTGGATGGGGGTGGGAAAAGCAGATGTCAGCTCTGGCAGATGTTCATCCTCAAAATTCCATGCTTTAAAGCAAGGATAATGACACTTACTGTCCCTACCTCACCAGACTTGTGCAGGGATTAATTGATGATTGTGAAATGCTTTGAGATTCTTAGCTGGCAGAGGAAGGTATTATTAATAGTCTTCTTATTATTCTCTTTGGCCTGGGAAATGAGCCTCTCCCCCTCTTGCCTAAGAGGAGAGGGGTGAGGAGAGGATGGAGAAGTCACTGTGTGCATTTCTCACCTGGTGAACTGGTTTATGCTCCTCTCTGCTCAGGGCCAGCCCTGCTGCAGAGCTCTGCCAGCTGCAGGCAGGTGAGGGACTGGCTGCCACATTTTGCTTCCTCATCTGTGTTTATTTATTCTCCTGCTCCCCCCCACCCCCTTCCCCAGTTATTTATTGTGGTGGTTGAAAAGATTACTATAATTTTTGTGCCCTTAAAAAAATAGTGCTGGAAGTTTCCAGCACATTCTGTTCTCTCCCTTTGCTCCACCTGCCCAGCTGCTTTTCCATAGCTCTCAAATAACGTCTGAATTGCAGTGCCTAGTCTGCAGCCCAGCACAGGGATCTCACAGAGGAAAATCCCCAAGAAGTAACTCATAGGCAAGAGACACATGAGGTAAAACCCCTAGAAAACAAAGCTCTTAAGCTTCTCCTACAGAAGAAAAAAAAAAAAAAAAAAAAAAAAAAAAAAAAAAAAAAAAAAGCACATAGACTTTAGGATCATTGCAAAATGCTTGCTCTGTAGAATATATCACTTCTGTGTCCCCTTCTGCTTTATCAGGAGTCAGGCCTACAGGTAGGAATGATCTCTGGTTTTATAAAGGAGGTATTACACAGCACCATTATTCTTCATAGTCCATATTCATGTTATATATTCATGGCTCATTAGGCTCTCCTGCCTGTGCTGGGCTACATCCTGTGGTGGTCATGCAGACAGTTAGGAAAAACCTGACCTTGCTAAGCCACAAGGATGGCTTTTTGCCTCCAGCAAACAGAGAACCTGTTTGTTATCTACCTAAACCAGCAAACTTGTAGTTTTTCATTCAGCAAAAAACCACATTAGCTTGCCTATTAAAATACCTAAAATACCAGAGTACTCTAGGACATGCTTATAGTGCATTTCTTAAAAATGTTGTATTTTTCACAAGTGTTTAAAAATATTCTGCTCTGAGGTTTTAGTCACTGATGGTTTAAAATACATCCTTACAATGCAAACACTTGGAGTAAATGTGTCATGAGATCTTCAGTTATTTTGTAGCAAAAATGACAATGCTGGATATTTTTTAACCACCTGTGAAGCATCAGTTCCTCTCAGAAGGAAGCATCAAAATGCATCTATGGAGACGTGGGAAAGTTCTGTATGCCTGTAATGTAGGTTTCCAAAATTGTATGGAAGTAAATCCACAGTCTGATCAGTGCCTGTGAGAGCTGAACAATCCTGTAACTGAGATTTGGCTTCCATTTCCCTCACACTGATTGGAAAACAGAGAACACAATGGCAAGAATATCTTCAGGGATATTATCCTCAAGTATAAGTGGAAATAATTTCAGTGGCTCACACTGAATATAGGAAAAAAAAAAAAAAAGATAAAAAACCCAAATGAAACAGTAAGGCCACCAGCACCTAATGTTCAAATGCAAGAACCTGGACATGTGTAAGGACAAATGTTGTTTTTTTCCCCAAAAGAATGAAGCAGCTGTGTAAGCAGGCTGAGTCTTGCAGCTTACACTGCTTCTAAATCCAGCATAAACCAGGGAACAAATAATGTCAAATGTCAGCTTGCTTTCACCTGAGGAAAGAAAGGATCATAAAGGTATGTAAGCACAGGATAGGACTGGTGAATCTCAGCTTTGATGTTTAGTCCTACCCTAAACCTGCACTGCCCATAGCTACTGTAAGTTGTTTTGGAATATTGTAAGTTTGCTTTCGAGTAGAAAGATACTTGTATTTGGTTGCTGAGCTTTGGTTTTGCAGGGATTGAGTGTATTAGTCAATTTTAAAGCACAATGTACTCTTAGAAAGAGGTTTGTTTGTTTTAATAACAGGGTTCTGCACTACTAATTCCAGCAATCAGAACCTCAGATTTTGGGGTAAGGTACACCTGGCCTTGTTGTAGTTCCAAAGGTGGATGAGAGGTTGCAGAACTGTTTTCCAGTGAGGAGACAACAGCTCAGAAAGGGGGAATTGCAGATTGATGGTTTAATATACCCCCAAACAGAAGCTTTACAGGTTGGGGTATTGTGCCAGAGGGGTCTGTGACAATCGAAATAATTTTTAGGTCATGTTGCACATCAATCTGTTTCAATGGAAGTCACCTTTGCCTTCAGTTTCTCACATGATGTCCTTGGCTGCTTGGTTCCAGAAACGAGCATACAAAAGCTACGTGCGGGCCCTGCCCATGCTCAAGAAGATGGGAGTCAGCTCCATCCTCCTCCGCAAGAGCATCGGCGCCCTGGAAGTGGCGTGCGGCATTGTCATGACACTGGTGCCTGGTCGCCCCAAGGACGTGGCCAACTTCCTGCTCCTGCTCCTCGTGCTGGCTGTGCTCTTCTTCCACCAGCTCGTGGGGGACCCCCTCAAGCGTTACGCCCACGCCCTGGTCTTTGGCATCCTGCTCACCTGCCGCCTGCTGATCGCTCGCCAGCCCGAGGAGCTGCCGCCGGACAAGAGGATGCTGTCGGTGAACGGGGAGGAGCAGCCACTCATCCATGAAGCAGCCCCCGAGAAAGGCAAAGTGAAGGTATCCTAGTTGAGTGCACGTGAGGAAACACGGACCCTCGAGGCAGCTCTCTCCAAAATCACCCAGAAAAATTGGTTTTTATTTACCTACTTACTTCTTTTTTTTTTTTTTTTTTTTTTTTTTTTTTTTTTTTTCTGTCTAAATAAAGTTGCGCTTGGGGTCTGAGAGATACAAGGTATGTCTACACTGTAGTCTTGCTTTTGCTGCTGCCCTGTAATGTAGAAAAACACAAGCTAGCTTCCACAGGGACAGCTTGGAGGCAGTCAGCAACCCGGCTGGAGCAGTGCTGGCCTCAGCAGGAGCTGCAAAACCAGCCTGAGACCCTTCATCTGCGCGGGCACTCAGGCCACCCCGGCACTGCTGCAGCGGGAGATCGCTCCTGAGCAGCAGCCCCGAGCCCACAGCAGCACAGCTGGCCTGGGTGCTGCTGCTGCCCGGAGCAGAGGCTGGGCAGGCCATGGCCAGTGTCCCTGTGCAGCCCCACACACACATCTGCATTTCCCTTTCCATGGTCAGGGGGTAAAAGGGACCCTGTTACCAAAAAAGTGTTGGAGAGAGGGATTCCTTGGGCTTTGCTGCCTCTGTGCCCAGTCCTTTCTATGGAATGCTTATCCAGAGAAAACATGGGATGCTCTGTT